ATATATATACACATATATATATCTATATACACACACAGAATACATTTTCAATTGTTTTATACTCTACATTTTATGTGTGAAAGTCTATATTAATAAGTATTAGCAATTTTATTTGTATGTAAAGACGTTATAAATTGGAATAAGATAATCTGCAAACTACTACAAAATAAAGTTGATTAAAGTTCTAAAATAAAAATGTTAACTCTTGGATTTGTTTTTAAAAGAAAAGGATACGCAAAATCTATATGCAGTATTGCTATACGTTATTTTTCTATCTATCCAAATATGAAAAACTAATTAGTGGTTCTACAGTGCTTGTTTCTTGTTAAAGACAAATAAATTTTATTTTTCATTTTTATCACTGTATCATGAATTGTGTTATGTTTTATTGTATTATGGAATCTATTACAGACTCGCATTATTCTTTTTTTAACATCTCTACTATGATTGGCAGTGTATAAACTATGGTAAATATATACGGAAGAAAGTTAATAATATAACTTTTAGATTGTTCAAAAACATAAAATGTCCAAATGATAAGAAAATGAGAAAAACTGTTACAAATATGAATGATTTAAGCGCGTTCACCACGAATTCGTCGCGCTAACTGAATATCTTTTGGCATGATAGTAACGCGTTTGGCGTGAATGGCGCATAGATTGGTATCTTCAAACAGGCCAACCAAATAAGCTTCCGATGCTTCCTGAAGAGCCCCTATAGCTGCACTTTGGAAACGCAAATCGGTCTTGAAATCTTGAGCAATTTCACGAACCAAACGTTGAAACGGCAATTTCCTAATCAGCAACTCTGTTGACTTCTGGTATCTTCGAATTTCTCTTAGGGCTACAGTACCAGGCCTGAAAGATGGATGTAAGTAGATGAGTTATTCCTACAGACATCAAAATATTTGATTGTTTTATTTTTTACAAGATGATAATGTAAAACATTGCATTAAATAAATGTATTAAATTTATAAATTTATATTGAAATATTTAGAATGTGTTTTACAATTGCCTCTCATCTTGGATGTATCGCGCACACACACATTAATATTTGTATCATTTTAAAAATAAATGGATTGTAATCACAATAATCAAATAAGCATACCTGTAACGATGTGGTTTCTTGACACCTCCAGTGGACGGCGCGCTTTTACGTGCTGCTTTGGTGGCGAGCTGCTTCCTGGGTGCCTTACCACCGGTCGACTTACGAGCCGTTTGCTTAGTACGAGCCATGACTGTAAATATTTATCACACTTGAGTCTTTTCTCGGCGGAAAGCTACCAGTATCGTGCGTACACGGAGAGAGGAGTGGGAGGAAAGGGGAAGGAAAGGAAAGGGCGGAATGAACAATGAGACAATATCGGAAGTGTTGACCAAACGACTTTTCTCGAACGCGGGAATGATACATCAATAACATTTATGAAACGCGCCGTATGAAATTGCGCTGGTTAATCTCGAGTTTGACGAAACAATCATCACTATATATATATACATATATATACGACGGCAATTTCCCTCCAAAAGTGAACACACACAATAAACAAAATGGCGGCGAGTCTGGATGCACTTTTCCAAGGTGCCTGAGAAGTCGTGGAAAACGACAGCAACTTCTCACTCATGTTCGATACATATTTTCACGCTCACACGGGCTACTGTTACGAACCATGCATGCATATTTAGCTGTTGATCGCAGTAGTTTTCAAACGACACGATTATCTTACCTGATTATTCGTTCTATTTAATCAGCAATGCCTTTCACAGGAAACTTGTTTGATTAGAAGCGAACTTCTCGACACGAATGTCAAACGCAAATGCACGCGAACGATAGAAGACCATAGAAGACTGTAGAAAACTGAGCGTCAAATACTGTTTCACTGGTAATGAAAAAGAACGAGAGCTGCGTGTCTCTGCGCAAATAAGAGCATTCCTATTCAAACTGTGCGATTGGTCGATGCTGTAAAAGATCAGTTGTAATTGGTTGGAAGTACTGCGAATAGCGTTGTTAGACAATGGGGGTTCGTTCAAAAATCCTACCCGCGAAATGAAGTAGAGTTTAATTGACCAATCAGGATAAGAGGATTTCTTCTCTTGATTGATCAATTAAATGCTGCTCTACGGGTAGAATTTTCGCGCGAATGCAACCTAATTTCAAATTTTATATACATTTCTGTGTGTTTATACGAGATTCCACTTGGTACTTCAAATCGTAAAGAAGCTTTGTCGCCAATTAGCGACGTGTCCAATTGGGCGCCACTCCCCATTTTTAATATCAAGGATGTTAAGTATTTTCATTCAAAACACTTTTAACATAAACAATCTTTCTTTTCCTTTTCTAAATTTAAAGTTTTATTTTCATATCTTAAATTGCACAATGTATATAAAATTAGCTTGTGTGTGTGTGTGTGTGTGTGTGTGTGAGTGTGATGTTGGCCTATAGCAGATTCTCACATATTATCGCATCTTCATATATCCCACTAATGTAATCTTCTGTTAATATATGGGGTTCATATTTTATTCTATTTTTTTTTTTTTTTTTTTAGAAATAGTTTATTATATATCAATAAGCAACAGGCCTATAAAAGTATGGTTTTATTACCAGAGGCAAAATTTCATTAAGTAAAATAAGCAATTGTATTTTAACTTTACAATGTCAATGTTTTAATTTAGAGAGAAAGAAGAGTAAAACAATATCTTTCATTACCTTAAATGCATTATACATAATGTTCAATCAAAAGAAATCAATTCTGCTGTTTTAGGTTTTGTATCTTCAACATCTTGCAAAGCTTCACTGGCTGTAGCTGGAATTGGAGGAGCAGCTTGAAACATTGACTGCGCTGCTGGAATTTGAGCCATTCTTTGCATTGTCGGTACATTAGATGCTTGAAGACCAGGTAAAGCCTGATTAGTTGCAGGTCCGCTGCCGGCAGGTATTTGAATAATGCCCGAAGGTTGAGAGGAAATGGCAGCATTGGAAACGACATGCCCTGGCATCGAGGATCCTTGATTACCAGGTAGTGTAGATGATTGCGATCCTATTTGCGGAGGCAGACCGACCACAGTTCCAGTAGGTACGAGACTCCCTGGAGCTACTGGACCTGATGAAGGACCCATGTGACTTTGAGGTATCGAAGGTAATCCGATTTGAGTCGAGGGAGCTGCTTGCTGTGATATTTGAGATGAGACACCTTGTTGAGGTGGTCTACCTGCTGAAGATTGTCCTGGTGGCATATGTACTGGAGGACTTTGTTGGGGTCCTATCTGATGATTGCTCGGTGGCTGAAGCTGTTGAATAGACGGCGTCATTTGGGAAGGCATCTGGAAAAGCAATATTTATCAAATACTTGTGGACTCATGTAGAAGAACTGACAAAGATGCTTGTAAAAATTTATAAACTTACTATTCCTGGGCCTGGTATAGACACACAACTTATATTCTCCTGTCCTTGGATGGATGGGTCTGACGATTGTTGATCCGGATTAGGAAGCGATGTTATCATATGCACCGGCAATGTATTCATCGACGGCATGTTATAACCCTGTATAGGATATTGACTCATGGATGGTTGCCCATACATATAAACTCCTTGATTCGTAGGTGACATAGGATTATAATTAGCTCCAGGAGTCGGATAATGGACATGACGAACAGGTGATCCTTGAGAAGGTCCCATAAAATCTGAAACTGCTTGATAACCTCCTGTAAAAATAGAATAGATATCATCTCAATGAAAATAAAGATAGAGACTCGAAAATGTTTAATAATTTTAAATAAAATTACAAACTGCGCCTAAATTACCCATTATATATTGCTGTTTTTGTTGCTCTTGACGCATTTGCATTTCTCTCTCTTGTTCTTGAATCTTTCGTAAAGCTAACTGGCGTTGATACTGTAAGTATTCTTGCTTCTTTTTTCGCATGATTGCCAGTTTTTGCGCCATTAGCATTTGCCGCTGTCTTTCAGCTTCCTCTGCTCTCCTCCGTAACTTTTCCTTATGTTCTTCTCTAAGTGCATCTAAAGCAGCTCTAGCATCCTTCATCTGAGTTAATTTATCTTGCAAGCCTTCATAATACACTCTATTATCATCCTGCTCTTGGATATATCTTAGTAATCTACAAAAAAAAAAAACATGTGTTTTGTTTTGTCTATTTTATATAACATCCACATATATTCATATATGCACACATATAAACATACATTTGACAAAATACCAAAAATAAAAATAATAGTTTTATTGAACATACCTGGAATGCATAGCTGTTATATTCATGAATAAGGTTTGAACTGAACTATCATTAGCGATTGATCTTCCCCTCGAGGAATTACTTTTCATCCTATTTACGAAAATTTCGACCTGAGATCTTAGACCACCTACAAATTCTTCCATTTGAGTATCAATCTCGCCATTTTCCTGTTTTACAAGTACGACTCTTTGAGGCATTGGACTGCTTATATTTGGCGCAGATGGACTAGTCACATCTACTCTTGATCCATGTTCTTCGTTTACAGTTTGTCTTTGCTCCCAATATTTGCGATTTAGATATTTAGCAAGCTCAGGTTCAATCTCGTCGTCATCTTGTATCCGTGATGGACTAGGACCCTAATGAAAAACAAAAAAAAAACAAAAAACAATGAATAAATCTTTATATGTAATTTTTGTAAAATTAAATGAATCGGATATATACTAAAATTTGAATCTCGCGTACGCGGAAAAACCATAATTTCAAAAAATACTAAAATAATATTACTGTTTTAGCAATCTAATTCATAATAAAATGTAGATTAGTGATAATGATTTTACACAATAAAAGATGCTTTAAATAAGAGTTATAGAAGACTAACCGGCGACAGTGGTGGTGAATATGTTGTTCTAGATATAGGAGTAGGATTGGATTTTAAAGCACTTGTAGCGCGTTTCTTCTCTTTTTCTTTCTGTTCAGCTTCACTTTGACTCAAAGCTATTGCTAGATTCAATTCTTCTTCTTCCCGCAATTCTTCTTCCGTTTTCCTAACTGGAACCTAAAGATATAAAAAGTAGTATATATATAAAACACTTAGGAAACTAATCTATTAATATCTAATATTAATATCTAATATTGCAAAGAATTATCTCAGAAATCAAATTAAAGTTTCAAGAAAAGTTTCTTTTCCTTGAATTCAATATTTGTATGATAATGAAATAATACAATTGTATAATGCAATAATTATTATTGTATAATTATATTATGGTTATAAATCATAATGCAATTTGCAATTGTATAATATACATTTATCATTATCAATATTACTTTGAATCATCATATAAATCATTATTTTAAACAAAGAATAAGAATACCTGGGACACTGAGGAAGCCATGTTTGACTAATAATTTGACTATATAAATGAATACTCTTAAAGTTGAATATATATAGAATTGAATATAGTACATAATATAGTAGATAATCCAACTTAAAAAGACTGATGTATAATTTAATTGCAAGTTATTTAAAAATTGAATGTAATTAATTCTTTTTACTATATATTTTTCAATATATTGTTATATATGCCCTATAAAAAGTTATTTTTATATTATTCAATATCAATAAAACGCGAATATACATACTTGTTGCTGCTGAGCCAAAGTGCTCTTGAGATATTCTGCTGGAAGATCTGTATCTTTAGTTTGTGTTGCAGATGGTCTGAAAAAAACTATAGTTTCAAAAATATCTTTACATAATATAAGGTACAGATGCAGGAAATGCAAATTCCACTAACTTGTTAACTTGTTCGTAACAAGCTTCGCAAACTCGTACTTCTTTCTCAATCCCAAATTTTGGCAGAGTAGAAACTTTGCTGGAGCATTGACCACAAAAGACTTGACCACATGCTCTACAGTGATGTTTTCGTTGAACCATGCTGAAAGTAACGCGACACCGATGACATACTTCACCATCTGCCCATGCAGGTGCAGTGTCCGCTCTAAACATAGCGTCACTTTCTTTTAAAGCAGGAAATTGATATCCTTCAGCTTTCATTATATTTACAGTATCCTGAAATTGTAAAAAGATACAAAGAAATAGGCATATAATAAAATTATATATTGATAATAAAAATTTTATCAAGCTATAATCATCTACCTGGACTGTTCTATACTTGGGACTATGACGAAATGCATGGGCCCAAGCTTGTATTAACTCTAAAGTTTTCAATCTAACATTTTCATGCGGAGAAGTCTTGACTAATTCTTTTAGTTGTTCCATATATTGTTTGGTAGCTATCTCATCGTGAATCAGTGTTCCACAATTTTTTACACAAGATTCCAGTACCTGTGCATGTGATTGGGGCATTAATAAATGAAAATAATAAATACGATATTTTTCTCTCATACTATGATATTAAATTACACCTTACCAATAAAGCATATAGCGCTACATGTGGATTAGGGTTTATTATTTTCTTTTTTATAGCAGCAAGTGCAGTTTTTGGCCTAAAAATGGAAAATGCTTAGAAACAAATATAACAATATAATGTAAGAATAATATATCTCCGATACAATTTTTTCTTTCTCAAGTAATGCAAAATATAATTGACAATACATATGTTATTGTTCAATATTATATTCTAATCATTGGCAAAAAATGCAAGTGTACTTTTTACAAGAATTATGCTTACTGAACATCGCTTTGACGTATAAGGTCACAAATTTGCAATATTGTAGGCCAATCTGGTTCTAACTGCAGATGGCTCGTTGCCTTATCTGCGAAAGATTAACAATGACTTAGAGAAAGCTCCGACATTTTGGACGAATTTTAAACTCAAGAAACTCACCTAACAATTTGTCAAAATTTGCTGAACTGCGAAACATTTTATTATTTTGATAAAACTCACGTTTCTGTCCTTTCTTGATGTTTTATCGCGTATAGTCACGCAATAATTACAATCGGCTAGCAGTGGTTGCAGTGTGATTTTGACAATTGTTCACTTCGCATTTAATCTCTTCCTTCCCCGGATATTTGCGCGATATGAGTCACATATCTAGTAAGGTCGCGTTCAAAAATCTTACCCGGAAAAATAGCATTTAATGGACCAATGAGTACAAAAGGAGCAAAGAGATTTCTTTATTCTGATTGGTCAATTCAATGATATTCTACCCCATGGATAAGATTTTCGAACGCACTCATAGAGTAGATATGAATCGACTATGCGATGATCGATTAATCGACTATTGAAAATTGTCGATATTAACCAACTTTATTCCAATTCTCGTAGCAAAACTTGAAATTTTGGCACGCGCTTGCAACTTTGTGAGAAAGAAAAGTAAAAAAGTAGCGAGTACAGTGAAATCTCGTATTATAATCTTGTGCACTTTATAAATTAATTGAACGGTCGTAAAGTGACGTATTCTTTCTTTCGAATTATATTGTTCTCTCACTATTCACCGCATATAATTCACGCGAGAGAGCATAGGTTACAAAGACGGAGCGCGCGTATATATATAACGCGAATATTTCTTAAATTTTTTATTAATATTAATGTGTTTTCTATTATTAATATTTTTAATGTTAATTATATATATATTAGCTATTTCAAGTTTGTGAAAATTACGCGCATAATTAATTGTATTTTTGTGAGTGAGTGCAACATATATAAGTATAATATATGCGAGTGTGAACTGAACTCTGTCGACGTGAACGGAGAAGGAAATCCGAATACAAAAGGCATTGACGGTGTTGGCGAAGCAACTTTGAAGTGAATAACTTAGTATTTATGTATGTTATTTATTATATAATATATAATATAATATATAATTATTTAATATATAATTTTTTTAAATATTGAGTATATATTTGGACGTTGCTATAATTTGAATTTTGTATTTGTATGTACAGATCAATGTAATTTCAACATAGTTTCAAAACATAGTCAACTTTTTGTTGTTGTGCATTGACCGGTGAGTGACAAATTTTTATTTTATTTTAAAGTATATAATAGTTTATGAAAATTGTTCTTTTATATATTAATTAGTGGCATATCAAAACGCAAATATACATATATGCATATATATATATATATATATATATATATATATATATATATATATATATATATATATAGAAAGAGAGAAAATAAGACAAGGAGGAGATTTTGTAAGAGCTCCAGGCGTTCGCGGAAAGTACGCCGGAATCTATGAATTCCTGATTTAAGTTTCGTCGTGCATCGGCCGTATTCCTGACGCTTCCGGGTAAAATATGCACGTTCGACGATGGAAAAAGGTCGTTTGTCGCCAAGTCCGCAGGGAGATCGATACACAACGATACGCGCCGAAGATGTTGTTTTGATACTTTCGATTCACCTGCTTTCTGTACCGCTAATACAAGCAGTTGCTAGAAAGCGAATGTCAAAATAATAAATCTATCTAAGAGAATATAATTCTTTTCACTAATTGGTATATATATATATATATATATAGTAAAAGTGAAAAGATTAGACAGCCTTAAAATTTTAAGTTGAAAATTAAAAATACATTAAAAGTTGTGTTTAATGACAAGAAAAATAAGATATATATTATACATCTCGGTTCTTTCAATTTTTTATTAATACGAATTTTGCGTAGAGATCAAATATAAACATGCAAAGTTATACAATTAAAAGTAGATAAGTATTAATTATGCTAATCACATACATTATAAATCATATATTATAAGTTTACTCTAAGCATAATAAATGCATTAAAATACTCATGAAAAAGCATTGGTTTTTCATAAGAAATGTTTAAAGATTTGTACAAAATGTATACGTGTATACTTTGCACATAAACTTTTTTATAGAAAGTCTTAAAAAATTTACTATTTAGCAAGATTCCAGATTTTGCTAATACTATAATCTTCACGCACACATATTACGTATGAAACATGAAATTTGGCAGCTTAAATGTAAAAAGTACTACTATATTATGTGCATATATAAATAGAATACTGAGTACGAGTATCGCAACCATCCCTACACAGTATAATTAATTGCACAAGAAGTAATATACATACATATGTTGAGCAATATAATTTTATAAAAATCAGAGATTATTTACTTTTATATAAATACGTTATCTCTTATACATATATGTTTTTGTTTTGCCTAATGTAAAATGATAATTTAAGTTTATAATCTAAAATAATATATAGCATAGTATATAAGAGAATAAAAATAAATAAACTCTAATTCTAATAAAAATATATTTTTCCAGCCGAGATTCGTTGCAAAGTCGATGCCTATCCATTGATAATCATTAATATATTCATTTTTTCATAATCATCTAAACTAATTAAGATTGCGTAATGACAGTTTAATTATTATTAATTTTCAAGATGACTGCCAAAGATCTCTTATTAAATTTCTGATCAAGATCTTTCGTAGCCATGTTGTTAAATGTTTTGTAAAATATTATAAATTAAGGTAATATATATATATATTGCACTAGTACAAATAATTCTTTACATTAGAATAAACAAAATTTTAGAAAAGTTTTGCAAGCATTTTAGAAATGTTTTTTGTAATTGATAAATAAGAAAGATAAACGAATATCGTGGATATTGTAGATATTGAAATTGAAAGTTATACATTTAAATATCTTGGATCATTCTAGCACTTATTTTTAACAATTTATTTGCACTAATATAATTTTGCTAATTCTTACAATACTCAATTATTTAAGATCTTCATTAAGAATAATTATTATATTAACCTGAGAATTTATATTGTCTATTGACATTTATGGCGAAATCTTTCGTATATGTATAATAAAAATTTAGAAAAGGGATTATCGAGCAATTCATGAGAAACGTAACATTCTGGCGGAAAGATTAAAATCTTCGGTTGGTATTTGCCATCGATTGTTCCAATCGGTTTTGTTTCTGTTTGCCAAATGCGAACACATTGGAAGACGTGTCACGCGTTCGCATCTTCTGGAAATCGACCAATAAATAAAGTTCTCGGGACATTTATAGAAGTATCCTTGTAAATTGTTCCGAATGTCGCGTTTACATTTGTAAAAATTATTACTGCAACCTTGTTGGTAAGGAAAATGTCCTTCTTCCGGGCAAAGCCGATTTGACGATACTTTTACCTAATATGAAAAAAAGCATATTGTAATATATCTTTACCGCATTATTTTCATTATAAATTTATTATTTAATTAGAATTACTTACGGGAGATAAAGCATTATTTTCCAGTCTTCTATATAATCTGACGCTTGCTTTGGCGCCTGTACATGGGTCACTACTTCTATCTGCAGGTAGACACTGAATCTTTTTCTCATCAAATATAGTATTCTCAGGACAACTCAATACGAGGATCTTGATTTCCATATTTCCTTCGGAAGTACATTGATAGAATAAATTGCAATATTTTGGATGCCTTCGAAAGCCAGTAGGACAAACTAGAGCTATTTGATCATCGGTCAAATTGCCTATAGCACAAGGTGTCGCAGATGCTGGTTCCGCCGTTGTCAGCTCTGATAATTCAGTCGTTGATTGTTCCTGAGACTCCGTTGTAGACTGTTCTTGAGATTCTATCGTTGACTGCTCCTGCGATTCGGTCGTTGATTGCTCTTGACCTTCCGTATTAGATGATTCTGTCGTCAAATGCTCCTGCGATTCAGTCGTCAATTGCTCCTGCGATTCAGTCGTCAGTTGCTCCTGCGATTCAGTCGCCGATTGTTCCTGGGATTCCGTTGTGGATTCTTGAAATTCGGTCGTAGGCTTTTCAGATTCCGTTGATTCCGTGGAATCAGGAGCTTCAGTTTGTTCAGTGCTAGAATCGGTAGCATTTTCTGTGATGGCAGTAATTGATTCAACAGTGGACTCTGTCATGTTTTCGGTATTTTCTGATATTTCCATAGTCGTGGATTCTATGCCAGAAGTGATAGTGCTTTCTGCTAAAGTAGTAGTTATCGTAGACGATATCGTTGTACTAGATATAATTGTGCTTTCTTCTGTTTGTTGAGTTGTACTCTGTATAGTAGTAGTAGTTATCGTTGATATGGATTGTTCTGACGTTTCAGACTCGGTTGTGGATTCCACGTTAACATTGCTTAAAGTAGTACTTTCAGTCGTACAATCTCTCGCAGGATAAACAGATTCAGGGTAATTGCATACGCTGATGCTAGGATCAAATATGGTGCCTGGTGGACAATCAAAATGATACACGTTGAAACCATTGCCATTATCGACGCAGCGATAGAACTTATCACATCGAACTGGATGCGGATAGAAACCTTCTTTGTTGCATACTATCGTATTGTTTGGCTTTTGAGTTGTGCAATCTGATATATGTGACTCGGTAGATGAAGATGATTCTTCGCTTGATTCGGAACTAGATTGTTCGGATGAGGACTCGGATGAATTTTCCGTGCTAGAGCTTCCAGGCATTTCAATTTCTTCTGGTTTTCCTGAAACGGGTTTTTCGCCGACGCTAGTGATTGTTGTTGAGGAAGCTTCTGTTTTATCTCCTTCCGGCATAGACGATTCCATAGATGTTTCTGGAATACTGGCAACTGTAGTAGAAATTGGAATTGCGGATGACGAGGTAGTCGCAGTGATTTGACTAGAGGCAGTACTTGTAGAACTGCTCGTGACAAGAGATCCAGATACGGGATTAGAAGTACTGGATGTCGAACCTTGATCGATCTCGTTATTTTCCATTGAACACGAAGCTACTTGTTCAATATAATTGCATGTTTGTACGGATTGATCCCATGCTGTGCCTGGACCACATTCAAACTCGTACTTTTGATATCCAGATTGGCCTTGTACACAGCGATAGAATTTTTTGCAATTACTAGGATCCGAAGAGAAACCTTCTTCAGTACATTCGTATTTTCCAGTTTGAGGCGAAGAGATAGTGGACGATATAGAACTTGGTAAAGTACTCGTTATAGGTCTTGTATCTACAGATGTACTAGTACTGGGTGGCAAATATGAAACAGATTCGGACGTAGATTCAGACGTTGCGTCTGTAATTGCAGTACTCGAAGGTGGTAAATAGGATATAGAAGTGGTCATTTGAGTTACGGGAGGTAGAGTAGAAATGGATTCATTAACTTGCGTTGTTGAAGATGGATATGTACTACTAACGGGTGGCAAATAAGAAATTGATGTAGTTTGGGACGGTTCAATAGGTTCGTCCGTAATACTTTCAGCCTGCTGAGTCGAAGGCGATATCTCCGGTTTTGAAGATATTGGTGGAATAGTAGAACTTTCTGGGGATTGCACAGGCGGTAGTTCACTCGTGTCTGGCTTGTCGGTGCTATCTACTTCGTTTAACGATGTATCGGGTTCGTTCGTAATTGTATCGCCTGTATGGTTACAATGTGGTACGGCGTAAATGTGGTTACAACTTTGAATAGATGAATCCCAGACAGTTCCAACGCCGCATTGAAATTCGTATTTTGTAAAAGACTTGCCATCATTGACACATCGATAAAACTTGCGACAATCATTTGGATGAGCGAAAAAGCCTTCTTTTGTACAACGATCTGAAACAAGATTTTATATATTTTTCTTATATTTGTTTATATTTAATTGTATCGTGCTAACAATATTTCGAGTTATTGTACCTGTCGATGATTGATGGCCAGGGGAGCTCGGTGAGTCCGAAGTTTCAGAGGTTCCAGGAGAACATGACGTTCCTGGAGAACCTGATGTCTCTGGATAATTCGAAGAGCTTGGACTGTTTGGAAAACCCGGAGTTCCTGGGATTCCAGGGGAAACTGGACTGCCTGGAGAATCGGGCGTACCCGGAGAACCTGGTGTACCCTGAGAACCTGGTGTACCCGGAGAACCTGGTGTACCCGGAGAACCTGGACTGCCTGGAGAACCGGGCGTACCCGGATAATCTGGTGTACCCGGAGAACCTGGTGTACCCGGAGAACCTGGACTGCCTGGAGAACCGGGCGTACCCGGAGAACCTGGACTGCCTGGAGAACCGGGCGTACCCGGAGAACCTGGTGTGCCCGGAGAACCTGGTGTACCTGGAGAACCTGGACTGCCTGGAGAACCGGGCGTACCTGGAGAACCTGGTGTACCCGGAGAGCCTGGTGTACCTGGAGAACCTGGACTGCCTGGAGAACCGGGCGTACCTGGAGAACCTGGTGTACCCGGCGAACCTGGTGTACCCGGAGAACCTGGTGTACCTGGAGAACCTGGACTGCCTGGAGAACCGGGCGTACCTGGAGAACCTGGGGTACCCGAAGAACTTGGAATGCCTGGAGTTCCTGGGGTTCCAGGAAAACCTGGAGAACCTGGAGCACCTGGTGTCCCTGGATAGCCCGGAAAATCTGGGCCATCTGAAGTGCCTGGAGAACCTGGTATTCCTGGATAACCGGGAAAGTCTGGACTACTCGGAGTGCCTGGTATTCCTGGATAGCCTGGAGAACCCGGTTGTCCCGGTTTACCATCTGGATTTCCAGCTTGTCCCAGTTGTCCTGGTTCTCCTGGCTGATTATTAATATCTCCAGCTTGTCCTGGTTGACCAGACTGATCCGTACTGCCAATATTATCATTCCCTTGTCCGCCATTATCTCCCATATCTCCATGCCATTGTCCATCATTATTGACATTGCTTTCACCTTCCAAGCTTTGCCTGCAGTTTCCTTTTGTAACAGCCCAAGCATGATTGCACCCTTGAATTTCTGGGTCCCAAACAGTTCCTAAACCGCATGTAAAATCATACTTTTTAAACTTTCCGTAACCTTCATCTACGCATCTATAAAATTTTCTGCAGTCGCAGGTATCGGCTAGAAATTCTTCTTGTGTACATTCAAGTTCGTTTTTACAATTATTTTCTGGTTGGTCTGTGGTTGGTCGACTTGTTAGCGGTGATTGCGCTGTTTCCGGTTTTCTGGTTGTCGTAACAGCTTGGGTCGTAATTGTAGGTTGTGGCGTAGACACTGGAGATTGTGTCGTGGTTTGTTGCGGCCGCGTGGTTGTTCTTACTGTTGTTGTCCATATAGGAGAAGGATTTTCTGGAGGATTATGTAGATTCGAATCAAGTTCATTTTCAGATCCGGCGCATTCAGGGCGACCGCTATCTCCCGGATGCGTGCAAATATCTCCTTTATTTTTTGAAAATACGGTGCCTACTCCGCATTCGAATCTAAAGATCGTCAGTGGGTTGCCGTTGCCCCAATCCACGCATCTGTAGTAAACCCTGCAGTCATGCGGATCAGCATGGTAACCTTCTTCTGTACACTTGAAGCGAGTAGTACTCTGTTTGTACTGATTTTGGTTATAGTCATAATAATCTGCAATTTAATACAAATAGTAATATAATGTTTGATATTATTTATATATA